AAAAAAAAAAAAAAAAAAAAAAAAAATAATACAAGATTGAAAATTTTTATATATGTATTATTAAAAGTTGAGATAATATATAAAAAAATACTTGCGGTTTTTTTTATATATATATAAAATAATTAAAAAAACTTATATAAAAAAAAAAAAAAGTGAAGATCATAGAAAATTTTAAACGTCTTAATTAAAAAAAAATTTCGAATTTTCTTTAAAAAAAATTTAAAGAAAAATAAAATAAAATAATAAAGTACTAGAAGAAGAGAGAGAGAATAATAATTCTCTCATCGTAAAATTGTAAAAATACAAAATATTCGGGGTTTTTTTTTTTTTAAAAACATCGCCAGAAAAATGTCTATTATGATATTATTTAACAAAAATAAATGTAAAAAAAAAAAGGAAAAAGAAAAATAATAAATTGTTCATTTTTTGCCAGTTTATACTCATTATACACAGGAAAAATATTAAAAAAAATTAAAATGTCTATAAAATTTATCGAGAGATCATAAGCAGAATGAATGGTAATCGCCAATGCTATGATGGAAATTAAAATTTTGTTCTGGGAAATTTGCAAAAGCTGTATACATGAATAATGTTATACTCATTGCGATTACCGAATCTAATAAAAAGGAAAGGGAAAGAAATAGAAAAGAAAAATTAGTTAAAAATTCAACCTCAAAATAAATTGAAAAGTTTATTAAAAAAAAAAGAAAAAGAAACTTACTGAATAAAACTCGTTCCCATGGTTCGATTGTAGATGTGGAAACTTCGCTTTGATAGTTTTTGACAGTGAAGTAATTACGAATAGATGAAATCATTTTTAATAGTTTTTTTTTTGTTTCTTGAATCGTTTGAAAAGTAAAAAAAGTCGTTGCCAAATATAAATTGTATATCGTTAAAAGAAGATTTTTTTGTATCGTATACGTTAACGTAACAAGTTTTTTTTAATGACCTTTTTATTTATTTATTTTATTTAAGAGGAGAATTCCTTACGTAAAGGCAAGAAAAGGTAGAGAATTGGGGAAAGTCAAAACTTGTCGTATATTTATAAGGACTCTCTTTTCATAATGACAATAACAAAAAAAAATTTTTTTAAAAAAAAAAATTTTTTTTTTTTTTTTGTGTGATATATGTGTTCCAACTATCTTATCTGAATGAAACAATAAAAAAAAAATAAAGGGGATATATTTATACATGAAATCTTTTTAAAGAATATCACGGCACCAGATGCATATCCATCCGACTTATCTCGTTTGATATTTCTCTATTTTTGGAATAAATAATATTAAACCATGATGTTGATATATTTTATTGATGACATCACCTTACAAATAGGTGATTTATAAATAACATTTTAAAAAACTAACCAAACTAACCGGTTTTATATTTAAACATGTACAAGTTGGTTCCACAGGGTTACAGATTTAGGGAACGTATAATTAATTGAATTTTACATTAATGAATTAATGAATAAATGAAACGAAAACTAGAAATTTCAAATAACAGATAATATTATTGTTGTGAAGAGAGAAGAAAGATTTAAAAAAGAAACAAAGAACAGAAATAAAATTAGAATCGCATGAGAATTTATTGTACAAGAAAGAGTACAATATATTAATAAATGATCTACAAGAACAAGACTTATAAATCTCAGATCCAAAGCTAAATTAGGTTTATTGATAATTTACTTATTTATAAATTTTTCCTATTTTCCTAAAAATTCAAATTCTATTATTATTTAACATTTGGGCGTAAATTAAAATTACTTTTTCGCTTCATCTTTCAATTTATATTATTTTTTATTCATTTTTTCAAATTAATCAATTCATGATTATAATGTAAAATTTAGGCAATGAAATACAGATAACAAAGTTTTTTTACGGTTTACAACGTAAAAAAAGAATGGTATTTCAGATAAAGTTTATAAAATTTCGTGTTCCGTTGCTCAATCACGATAATTCATTCGGAGATGGTGTAATATCGATGCAATGTTCGTATCTTTGTTATTGTTTTTGATATTCTTTTGGCGTAAAAAAAAAAAAAAAAAAAGAAATCCGATTTCCGGCATTAAATCCGATTTCTTACCGGCAGAAAAAATAAATCCATTTTTTGTTTCATTATCATCATTATCCTGTGAAACGTAACATATATATATATAAAAACTGTCAAACTCTCAAAATAAACCTGCTTTATTCTTTAATAAGTAAAATAGGTAAAAAGATGTAATAAACTCCTACTATTTATGGTAATTATAATTATATCCGGATTATTTTTAAATTAATTGTATATTTAGTAAGATAAATTAGGAAATTTGGACTATAATAAAATAAGCCTAGCATGATTAACGGTTTCGTGAATTTCATTATAAATTCTATAAGAATTAATGATCACCGGATTCGGTTCAAATTACTTTCCGCCATTAAAAAAATACGTTCAAAAAAAAAAAAAAAAAAAAAATATTTTTCCTTTCGTTTATCAAATTATTATTATTAAAAATTATTAAAATTATTTCAGAAGGTAAGATTGGTATAGGTTCGGGGAAAAGATTTTTCGGCATAGGAAAAACTTAAAAAAAAAGAGATTTTTTTTATTTATTTTTATTATTTCATTTATTTTTTACAAATTTAATATTTATAATATTGCACAACAATATTTTTTTTATCGTGATACAATACATTTGCTTGTAATTAGTGCCATTATCTATTATGTTTCTATTTGTATTGTACATCGTGGGAGATTAAAGATTTGTTTTGTTTGTTCTTTCTTTTTTTCCTTTTTATTTATCATTCACTTATCTCGTATATCAGTTTGGCGGGTTGGCTAAAGCGTTTATTTCCGTAAGTGGCCTCTATTTTAAAAGATTATTTTATATATAACGCGTACATTAAAAAAAACGCGTTCTTTAAAAGTCCCCTGCTTTTGAAGCTTATCAACTTGTTTATTTTAATCATCGATTTTTTGTGAATAATAAACAATTTTATCATTATTATCATTATGTAATAACTCATGAAAAAAAAAAAATGAAAGGTAGATATATTAAAACCGGTTAAATACTTTTTATTTTTTTTTTTTTTTTTTTTGTCATTCAAATGAGGTTTACCCATTTTATCATTTAAAAATGCCTTATTATGCAATCTTTCATGAAAAGTTTTTTTTATCAGGTTTTTAATCCTGTATGTAAACATGAACGGTCAAGGTTTTTATCCGGAACGAAATCGTTATTTACATTTCCGACCAAATCATTTTTCATTAGATTAAAGATTTTCTTCAAATTTGGTTAGCTATTTCCATATCAATATCTTTTTTTATTGTTAACCGCAGCAAATAAACAAAATATTCTTTTCTTCTTTTCTTTTTTATTTTTTTTTATTTTTTATCAACAATAAAATAATAATATTTCTATCAACGATAAATAATAATTTTTTCTTTAACGATAAATAGTAATATTTCTTTAATGATAAATACGATAAATAATAAATAACTCTTATTATTTATTGAAAGGCATGCAACGAAGAATCATATCATTTGAAAAAGATAAGCTTTATTATATATATAATTATTACTATTTTTTATTATCTTTTTACAATCTATATATTATTTTTAGAATTATTCACTTTTTAGAATTATTTCACTTTGTAAAATTTCCTTATTTTAACTTTACAATTAATAAAAAGATAGTAAGATAACGCATAAAACTAAAAATTTATGTTTCTATTTCAAGAAATTTCCTAAATAAAATAATGGATACTATAGAAGGGTTAATTAAGAAATTAAATAATTAATTAGAGAAAAAAAAGGTAATATATAATAATTGTTTCTTTTTAAAGTATGACTATGATATTACCATTTCATCGTTTAACAATGTATAATGTTTTCCCCCATCCTTTCAAACGTTTCAAAGTTGTTTTTTTTTTTACATCGACTATGAATTACCATTAGTAAATTGTAAATATATTTTCATGTCTTTTCAAAAAAATATATGATCATCGTTCCCCGCAAAAAAAAAAATTTCCTTTTTGTTCTAAAACCTGAAAAATAAAAAAAAACTTTTTTTTTCCTTTTTTTTTTTTTAAAAAAAAAAAAAAAAAAAAAAAAA